GCGGGGAGGCCCCCCCCCCCCCCCCCCCGCCCAGCCTGTTCCAATGCTTGACTGCCCTTTCGGTGAAGAATTTTTTTCCTAATATCCACTCTAAGTCTCCCCGGGTATAACTTAAGGCCATTTCCTCTCATTCTGTTGGTTGTTACCTGGGAGAAGAGACCCCCAGCTCGCTCCACCCTCCTTTCAGGGAGTTGTAGAGAGTGAGAAGGTCTCCCCTCAGCCTCCTTTTCTCCAGGCTAAACAACCCCAGTTCCCTCAGCTGCTCCTCATCACACTTGTGCTCTAGACCCTTCCCCAGCTCCATTGCCCTTCCTCTGGACACGGTCTTTTAGCCAATGTTTGTGCATCCAGATTGTGATGAACAAGTAAACTTCTATATACTACTTAGTAGAGGAGCATTTTCTCACTGTATGGGTTTAAGTTTTATAAAGGACTTCCAGGTTGTTTACCACTATGAAGGACTCAGTCCTACACAGAGATCTGCTATTTTTTGTGAAGTGTTGTCATCCTGTGAATTGCTGGCAGGTTATTTGACACTTCATCCTTCTCCATACTCTCTTATGAGAGTCCTGGTTCTTTTAGCAGAGCAGAGGAAATCGAGGTCCTTCTAGCAGATCACATGTATACAGTATAAGTGGGAGCGTAGGGTTGCTTTGGGGTGCCTCTCTGACATGAGGACGTTGTACTGGTGTTAGGCCAGCAGTGAAGCTGCAGCAAATATGCCCAGAACCAGTGTTGCTTAGAGGAGTGGTCCCACAGCTGATGCTTTTTTGAAGGATTTCTCGCAGCCCAGAAGGCCAATAACTGAATCCTGGGCTGCATCCAGAGCAGCGTGGGCAGCAGGTCGAGGGAGGGGATTCTGCCCCTCTGCTCCACTGTCCTGACACCCCACCTGCAGTGCTGCCTCCAGTACTGGGGCCCCCAACACAAGAAAGACATGGACCTACTGGAGTGAGTCCAGAGGAGGCCATAAGGATGATGCGAGGGACATGGCTGGAGGGCTGGAGCACCTCTGCTGTGAGGACAGGCTGAGAGAGTTGGGGCTGTTCAGCCTGGAGAAGAGAAGGATTCAGGGAGACTTTCTTGTGGCCTTCTAGTACTTGAAGGGGCCCTACAAGAAAGCTGAAGAGGGACTTTGGAGAAGGGCAGGTAGTGATAGAACAAGGGGTGATGGCTTCAAACTGTAAGAGGGGAGGTTTAGATTAGACATTAGGAAGAAATTCTTTCCCGGGAGGGTGGTGAGACACTGGCCCAGGTTGCCCAGAGAAGCTGTGGCTGCTCCTCCCTGGAAGTGTTCAAAGCCAGGTTGGATGAGGCTTTGAGCAACCTGGTCTTGTGGAAGGTGTCCCTGTTAATGGCAGGGGGATTGGAACTGGGTGAACTTTAAGGTCCCTTCCAACCCAAACCAGTCTGTGATTCCATGATTCTGTGATTTCAAGACCCAGCACTTGGCAGCTCCAGGAATATGAAAAATAACTGGGGCCAGGCACAGTGCGTCGGCTACCTCTCACATGTAAGAGTGCCATTCTTTAAAGATGCAAAGCTCACACGTACATTTGCTTCCTTCCCAAGTCCCTTTCTTCTCTGACACCTCCTATGTGGGGAAAGTAAAATGACCCTGTGCACATCCCATTTCACATACATATCTGTGGAGCTTAAGAAATGGCATTCATAAGCATATTTCGTGTGTTTGTGCACTTGGGGCTCTAAATGTTCTTGTAGGTTGTACATCTCAGAAGCCTCTCCAGCTGATAACTAATCTTGCACTCCATTTATTTTACTGTCAGAGCCAGGGGTGGAAAGTCTGTAAGAGCTCACTTCCTTCACCGACTCCTATTCAGAGTAAAATAAAACTCCATCATTTTCCAGTGATCTGTCGATGGATTATCTGGATTGTATCTGGCATGCAGGTGCTCAGTGGCCACTGTGCAGAAACCAAGTTCAGAGGTGTTCATTAGCATATCTGCAAGCACCCCTTGAATAAGATCTTGCTACTTCTGGAAGGAGTTGAGTTTGCTGCCTTTCACGTGGTGGGCTTTGCAAACTCATAACCTGTCTGGTGGTTGCGCACATCCCCATTCTGCTCCCCTATGTGTGCCTTAGCAGCCAGGCTGGTGGGGAGGGGTGCAGAAAGGTGTTATTTCATGTACCCTCCAGGAAAAGGAAAGCCAACTGTATAAAAAGGACCTCTGCAGCCCTGAGGAGGTATGGGAAGGCCAAATCCTGCACCGTGCTACTGAAACACCAGCTGTTCTACTTTCTGTTCTCAAGCTATCAGTTTACAGTCAGTTTCTGCTTAATATTAAAAATTTCTTGGACTTCTGAAGATCTCTTTTGTTTTGTTTTTTTTTTTTCTTCTTTCTCTCTCTTTTTTTTTCGACAGCCTCTTGAGCTTACACGAAAAATCCTCCGAGATAAGCAGAACAAGAAGAATTCTGGTCAGCCCATCCCAGTATTTCCATCTTGGGTGTATGAGAGACCTGCACTTATTGGCGATTTCTTAATTGGCACCAGTTTAAGCACTGACACAACGGTACCTATAGGTATGTGATACACAGGGAAAACTGCATGAATTTTTTACGTTTTGTACTTGTTCAGAAGTGCTGTTCAGATTTCATGACGCTCGGGATGAAAGCAAAACTTGGCTCTTTGCACTCTGTGGATGAAGAGCGGGACTCAAAAAAAACCCAAACTTACTTTATTCACAGTGTTTCTCCTTTGCTCAATTCCAGTCCCACTGTTGATCCATGGGATCTAGTATTTTTGAGTTTCCCAATCCTTTTTCTCTCTCGAGTCACAACCTCCTTAAAATCTTACTGTAGGAGTATCACGTCTCTATTCTCAGCTGAAAAATCTGTAGTCATATTCATCAATCCACCCAGCTCAGTATCTTCTCCAGTAAGACTCTAACAACCTCCTTGATTTGCTGTCTCTCTCCTCGCCAGAGCAGCAGGGGACTAACCTCCTCCCATTGTATTCTAGCTTTAGGTTCAGCTGTGGATAGTTTCTTATTCATAAATTAGGTTTAAGTATTTTTTTTGGAAGAGAACTGCTGAGTTAGAGACTCATGTTTCCATTCCCCAGAACTGTGGAAGCTCCTACAAAAAACCTGTAGCTTCTTTCTGATGTGGATTTGGGCTGTGCCTGAGGGGGGATATGAAAACAGTAGGCTCATTCTCGGTGGTGTCCTTAAATAGCTTGTCCACCAGTGCATTTCTGGCGGGGCCTTTGGGGATGCGCTCTGAGGGTATGTTCCTAGCAAGCTCAGAACCGTTTGTTCTCTCACATATGATCCTACAAATGGAGAGGGATTGTTGCCTTGTTTCATGAGAGAAGCTTTGCTATAGTTAGTGTTGTAATCACTCTGTTGCCTGGTCTTCTGATGCATTTGATTATATTTTGGGTTGAGTCCTTTATTATCCTGGTTTTGCTGGGACAGAGTTAATTTTCTTCCCAGTAGTTAGAATAGCTGTGGTTTAGTTTCAGTGTAGGATTTGTTATGAGAAGAATGTTGATCAGGTTCTAATGTTATTAGTTGCTGCTGGAGCCCAAGGCCACCGTGTTTGGCTGGTTCACAGCTGCATTAGGACTGGGAGGGAGAAGCGCAGTGAACAGCAAAACCCCAAACTGGCATTGGCTCTGCCAATGAGATATTCCATGTCATGTCACGTCATGTCAGTATATTAACCGGGGCTGACTGGAAATCGGGGGGATTCTCTCGGGGATCTCTTGGGCTCTCACTCTTCCAGGGTTTCAGTTTGGGGGCTTGTCTCTGCTCTGGGATCGCTGGCTGGCATAGGCTGGGCATTGGTTAGTGTGTGGTGAGCAATTGCACTGTGCATCACTCATGTGCATTCTGTTATTACTATTATCATCATTATCATTTTATTTCCATTAGTAAATTGTTTTTATCTCAACCCATGAGTCTTCTTGCCCTTATCCTTCCAATTCTCTCCCCTAATCCCTGAGGTGGGATGAGAGTAAGAGAGTGACTGGGTGTGTGTTTGGCTGCAACCACCACAGTCTTTGCAGCTGGTTTGTAGTTCACCGCACCATTCAGAGACTCTACAGTTTGCAGTTCCCCTGCAGTTTTTGCTGGACTAGCATTTCTTTGTGTCTGTATTTGAACTGTTTTCTTGGTATTTTAATATTTTGGTGGAGGGGAGGTAGGGGGAGTTGTTGACAAGACTGGAGATCCTCTGGTCCAGTATAACCGAGCGCTGTTGGTTGGAGGGATCAGCTGTGGGTGTTGTTCTCTTGGTCACAGATGTCAGATGTATAGCCCTGTCTACTTGGTTTGCTTTGGATATAAATGAGCAAAGGATTCTGTTTTCCTGGAAAGCAAGGTAGGTGATTTTGGAGTTGACCCTAACTCAGTTTTATTTCTCTCTATCTTGATTCAGCTTTGTGTGATCTTTTGTTCTCTTTGAATGGTAGTGTGTCTTCCTTTCAAACTTCTGGTACTAGATTGAAATTATATGAATGGATGATCAGGTAGCACTATGGCATGTTCTTATTATGTTCTTCTTTTGTCTTCTCTTTGAAAACAGGTACTTTGCCATTGGCGTCCCAAGAATCCATGATTGTGGAGGACTTGCTGTATGTTCTGATTGGTGTGGATGGAAGATACATCACAGCACAGCCTCTCATAGGCAGGCAGAACCGAGCGTTTTCAGTCGATCCAAACTTGGACTTGTCCATCAAAGAGCTGGTGACCAGGATTCTTCCTGTAGCAGCAAGTTACTCTATTGTCACCAGGTACCAAGCTGACTTTTGTAAAGAGGAGGATATTCTCCTTTGAGCATCAGGTTGTAGAACAGAGAATCTGTCATTGTGCAGATGTTAGCTTCCAAGCTTAATTTAAACCTGTGGGGATATAAAATAAGAATGATGATTTATTTGAATTTATTTTAGCTACATTTCTTTTTGCTGGGTTTCTCCTCTGTACTGCCAGTTCACTTTTTCGTTCACCTCACCTTCGCTTTGTCCAAACTTGCTCTTGGTAAATTCAGGCAAAGTGCAAATAGGATGTGTCTGCTTATTCTGGCATGTCTCTTTCCACTCTGCTGTGAATTTCTCCATGTGTCCTGCTTTTTGCTCTGCTCTGGGCACCCAGGACTGAGACAACCTTTGCATGCGTCTGAGCAGGAGAACCTCCTGCTGCTTAGTTTCTGGTAGCTTACCTTAAGTGAAAAGGTCTTAGTGAAGGTACACCTCATTAACAGCAGATGTTTGTTATGTAGATATCTGCATTTGATTCAAAGTTCCTAAAAGATCAGCAAAGGGAAAGAAGCATTTTTAGGGTATGATTCATCCAATCTCTTTTATGTGTCTCCTTACAGATTATATGATTTGTGTTCAGAAGCATCTGTCTCTCTCCACTAATGTGTATGGAGCCATGTAAATCTGGTCAGATGAATCCCCGCTGTGACATGTGGTGTCAGAAGCTCGCAACAGTGCTTTCTTGCATGTCTGGGTGCACATTGCTTCCTTCCTGTCCTCTAATCTGCTGCTTATGCAAAGACAATCACCTTGAAAATCCTGACTCGCACTTTTTACATCGTGGTTTTGCGAATAATTCTAATTCCCCTGCAAATTGAGAGGAAGTGTCCTGCAGATAAAATTCCTAAAAATGATAGAAAGTGCCTTGCCTGAAAGAGTTTTCATTTTGCTTTTTACAGATTTATAGAGGAGAAATCTTCCTTCGAGTACGGACAGGTAAATCATGCTCTGGCTGCTGCTATGCGGACTCTAATCAAGGAATACATGATACTAATTACCCAGCTGGAACATCTTCAGAGACAGGGACTTCTGTCACTGCAGAAACTCTGGTTTTATATCCAGCCCACAATGAGGACCTTGGAGATTCTTGCTTCACTTGGTAAATTTCAAAAATACAGTCATTACATTTTGTTACATGACAACTTCTGAAAACTCTACAGAGTAGCAATACAGGTAGGGGATGTGTCATTTGAATTTTATGTTATATTAAAGAAGAAAGCCAAGGGGAATTGTACTTGTCAGAGCACTGCTCTTTTTTGAGACCAGTGGGCTCTAGGGCTGAATCTGCCCTTCAGAGCTGTCATGAGGCATGTCCATGCCTTTTGGATCAGTTGTTTCCACCACTGCTGTCTCTACTCAGCTTCTTTCCAAGTGTCTCTCTAGCTGTGTGTGGATATATAACTGCAAACCAATTCAACTGGAAGCAACTCCTCAGAGTTTCTAGTCCAACTCCTTCCTCACAGCTACAGCAGGTTGCTTAGAGCCACGTCCAGGTGAGTCTGGAGCAATGGAGATCCCCCACTAATTCTGGGCCCTTTCCCATGACTTCATCACCCTTTTTGTGAAAATTTCTTTCTGTATCTCCAACTGGAATTGCCCTTCTTTACGTTTTGCACTTTTGATATTCTTGCTGAGCTCCTACAAGAGGAGTCTCTTATCATCCCCTGTAGAACCATCCATTGGATAGTGAAGGACTGTGGTTCAGCATTCCCCCAGCTTCATCTTCTCTTCTCTTGGCTAAGAAGCCCTGCTCCCTGAGACTCTCCTTGTATGCCCTGAGCATCAGCCTCCCACCATCTTACTAACCTGCTACACTCCATTTTGTCATTCATACTGGGGACCCTAAACTGAATGCAGTGCTCCAGGTGTGGCCTCACCAGTGCTGGGCAGAGGAGAATATTCACCGTCAGCACAGCCCTGGGTGCAGTTGATGTTCATCGCCACAAGGACATGCTGCTGACCCACAATCAGCTTGATTGTTACAGAATACCAGACTGGTTGGGATTGGAAGCGACCCCAGGAGATCATCCAGTCCAACCCCCCTCTCTCAGTCTTTCCTTATAAGAAAGATTGTCCACCAAACATCTCCAGAGAAGGAGACTCCACAACCTCTCTGGGCAGCCTGTCCCAGGGCTCTGGCACCCTCACAGTAAAGAAGTTTTTCCTCATGTTTAAGTGGAACCTCCTGTGTTCCAGCTTGTACCCTTTGCTCCTTATCCTATCGCTGGCCACCACTGAGCAGAGTCTGGCCCCATGCTCTTGAAACCTGCCCTTTAGATATTTTGTAAACATTTATCAGATCTCCTCTCAGTCTTCTCTTCTCCAGGCTGAACAGACCCAGGTCTCTCAGTCTTTCCTTATAAGAAAGATTGTCCACCAGGGCTCCCTGCTTGGTCTCTGCAGTGCTGCTCCTCAGCCAGATGGTCCCACCCTCTGCCCTTGCCTGGGGTTGTTGGTCACAGATGCAGTTACCTCGGTAATTTTGGCTAAACTCTTTGGCATGAGAATACTTGTACATTTCTCTCTAGTCAGCCCAGAGAATTTATCTGGCTGTAAACATCTGTTCTATTTACAATCTGGAACTGAATGATTCCTCTTGGTAGTCACTTTTCCTGAAATTTTCAGTTATTTGGAACACAGCAGTTAGCCAACTACTTTAAGGGTTACTTTGATGTGAAACTCATGGCAGTACTGTATTCCTCTGTTCCTACATCCCTCTTGTGATAGCAAAGTACGAATTTCACTATTGACCTACATAAATCCTGATGTGCAAGCTATATGCCTGGCTATTTTGGTGTCACAGTTGAGAACAGAAGTGCTTTTGAGATCAGAAGTTTCTCAAGCAAGCCACTGAAGTGTGTTTCTTCCATTACTGCTTGGAATGTGGATATCTATACACAGTCCTCTTGGTGTAGGAGGCTTTTGAACTCTAAGCCACCATGTACTTTGTGTCTACCTGAGTTCAGTTCTTCCCTGGAGGGTTGGGTTTGGTTATTGCTTTTTTAGATTGTGTTTTCATTTCAGGATATTTCAGGATGTAAGCTTTTGGTTGTGTGGTGGAATGGCATTGCATCTTCTCAGCCAGTGTCTAACAGCTGCTGTGGAGATCTGTGACTTGGGGTGGTCAGCTAATCAACTGCTAACTTTAAGAAATTTAACAGCATAGCTTATGCAATTAATCTGTGTCAGCTTTGTGTCTTACATCTATATTTTTAAATTGTAGCTACTTCTGTGGATAAAGGTGAGTGTATGGGAGGATCAACCCTGAGCTTACTCCATGACAAGACTTTCAATTACACGGGGGACAGCCAGGCCCAGGAGCTGTGTCTGTATTTAACCAAGGCAGCCAGCGTGCCTTATTTTGAAATTCTGGAAAAGTGGATATATCGAGGCATCATTAATGATCCATACAGGTAAAGAACAGTTAAGGAATGAAAATAGAATGCAAAAGTTAAGAAATACCATTTGGGTCTTTGGCTTCTACTTTTTTAGTGCGCCCATCCCTCTGCTTTATCGAGTCTGCATAGCCTAGGGGCCTGGACCTGGCAGCAGCAGGCAGACGAGGCAACTTTGCAAGGAAGGGGAGCTGCTGGAGCATGTTGTGCTACATTTCTCATTTGATTCAGTGGTTATACACTCAGAGACACTCTCATTTGCTTTATTTTTCCAAATTCAGGGAAATTATATGCAAAAGTGAATAGCACAACAGTTGAAATGTGCAGTCCACTCACATTCCACCTTACCATGCCTGTCCACCTTTAAGTGTTCTTTTCTCTCATCCTCATCCTCTTCATGACAGGGGTGAGCCCTCTTCTCATAGGGAAAAACTGTGGTAACTCAGTGAATCAATGTTAAATGTGGTCCACTAATGTGCTAATCTGATGTGAGCTAACAACACTCTCTGAAGTTTCATGGCTTTTGTAGAATCGCTTGAAGCATTTTGCTGCATTTAGTTTATGCAGCGTTTTTGTTTCCCACATTTTCAGAATCCTAAGGGGGACAAAACTCAAGTTAAAATAGCTAAAATTAATGCCTTCCTGATGGTGAGAAGGCAGACAAAGGCCACCTTCCTCACCTCTACACTGACAACTAAATAATGTTTAGACTTGGTTTGTGAAACCTGTGAAATTCTCTGTCATAATTGATTGCAGATTAGCAGAAACACTCTGCCTAATGCCTCTCCTCTTACTGCAAATACAGACTAATTTCAGTTCTTGGTTGAAATGTATTTTCATGAGACCTCATTTCTGATAGATCATATTACCAGTTTGCAGGTCAAAAAAAGTAACGGTCATTGTACCACTTCCTGCTTCTAAACATCTGCTTTAACTGTTCAGTGAGTTCATGGTGGAGGAACATGAGCTGCAGAAGGAGAAGATTCAGGAGGACTATAACGACAAGTATTGGGATCAAAGATATACTGTTGTCCAGCAACAGATTCCCTCATTCTTGCAGAAAATGGCTGACAAAATACTAAGCACAGGTAGGTCAAGAAATGCTTCTTATGTAGGAGGAGTCTTGAGACAAGCGTCACTGTTGGTTGTGTAAAGATAAAGTAAATGTCATTGTACTTTGCCACTTTATGGGATTGTCCAGCTGAACTTTTCAGAGGAATAGAAGAATCAAATTTAAAAGGAATCCCAAATCCTACAAATAAAGCAACACATGGGAAGGGGTCCAGCAGCAAGGGGAGTTGTCTGTCACAGAGTCATAGAATGATGGGGGTCAGAAGGGGCCTCAGGTGATCATCCAGTCCAACCCCCCTGCCAAAGCAGGTCCATCTCAAACACATTGCACAGGATGGTGTCCAGGCAGTTTTTTAATATCTCCAGGGAGGGCGACTCCACAACCTCTCTGGGCAGCCTGTCCCAGGGCTCTGGCACCCTCACAGTAAAGAAGGTTTTCCTCATGTTTAAGTGGAACCTCCTGTGTTCCAGCTTGTGCCCATTGCCCCTTGTTCTATCACTGGCCACCACCGAGAAGACTCTGGCCCCAAGCTCTTGAAACCTGCCCTTTAGATATTTATAAACATTGATAGGGTCCTGTCTCAGTCTTCTCTTCTCCAGGCTGAACAGACCCAGCTCTCAGTCTTTCCTCACAGGAAAGATGTTCCAGCCCCTTAATCATCTTTGTAGCCCTTTGTCTTACTGCTCTGTTTCATGGCTACAGTTTTCTAGCAGCTAGCTAGATGGAGCTAGACAACTGAGATTTGAACATGCTGAGTTGTCATTTGGATGTTTAAATGAAGCATGCAACCTGATGGTTCTCTTCCATAAGTACATAACCATCCAAAAGCAACTTCTGAAATCTAGCAGCAGATCTCCAAACTTTCTGGCTATCTGCAGAGATGTTTTGCCATCACTGGAAAACAAAACCATTTCTAAATATCATACTAGGTGCCTAATTTAAAATTCTTTATCCTCTTTTGAAAGGTGCCTAAATCCTTTCCAGCTTTCAGTAGAACTTAGTGTAAACATTTCACAGCATATCTTCCTCTTGAAGGTAATGGTCTGAAAGTTTCCCATTGTGTGTACACTTGGTATGAATATGGATCATTATTTCTTTTTGCTTCTAGGGAAATATTTAAATGTTGTGCGAGAATGCGGACGTGATGTTACCTGCCCCGTGGCTAAAGAGGTCATCTATACTTTAAAAGAGCGAGCATATGTGGAACAAATAGAAAAAGCGTATAACTATGCTAGCAAAGTTCTTCTGGATTTCCTAATGGAGGAGAAAGAGCTGGTGGCTCACCTAAGGTTTGATTTATTTTACTAAATGCATGCTAAAGAGATTAGTTCTGATAGTGACTATAAATTTTTGAAGTTAGGTCTCTTTTCTTGGGATATTATTAATATATTCTCTCTACTTCCTTTAGAAAGATTGACCTGAAAAAAGATTATTTTTTTTTCCCCATGGAGAGAAAAAAAAAAAACAAGCAAAAGTGTAAAATTGTAGAAATTTTGGGTAGGAAGGATGCCTGGGAGTCTTCAGTCCAACTTCCTTGGAAGGCTGTTGCCAAAACTAGGTCAGGACCGTTGTGGCTGTGGCTTTGTCTAGCCCAGTCCCAAAACTTGCCCTTGGGTACAGACATCCCCCGCTTCTTTCATGGACTGTCCTACAGCTGCATGTCACTCCCACTCAGGAAAGGAGTTTCCTAGTATCATCTGGTGTGATGTGTCCTGGGGTGCATCAGGCACTGTACTACGAGCCGGTCCAGGGAGGTGATCGTCCCGCTCTGCTCTGCACTGGTGCAGCCTCACCTCCAGTACTGGGGGTAGTTTTGGGCACCACAGGATAAAGCTCCTGGAGAGTGTCCAGAGGAGGCCACAACATTGGGGAAGGGTTTAGAGGGGGAGCCATATGAGGAGAGCCGTCTTGTCCGGGGAACATGGTAGTTCAGGTAAGCAAAGATGCCTGTATGGGAGAAAAGAGAATAATCTTATTAAAAAATCACAGCTGAGGAAACTGTATGTGCCAGATGGTGACCAGCGCCAGGAGCAGAGGAAATGGCAGGAAGATGTGGCAGGGGAGGGTGAGGTTGGCCATGAGGAAAAGGTTCTTGAGGCAGAGAGTGGTGGAGCAGTGGGACAGGGTCCCCAGGGAGGTGGTCATGGCCCCAAGCCTGACAAGATTCCAGGAGCATTTGGCCAACATGTGCCCTCAGACACATGGTCTGAATGTTGGGATTGTCCTGTGCAGGGCCAGGAGTTGGACTGGATGATCCTTGTGGGTCTCTTCCAACTCACAACGTTCTGTGATATACACCATGGTTATTGTTGATGCAAACATACGTAGTTGGAATAAATGTATTAGTCCCAAGTTCCAGTACAGGGTTTTTCTTAACATTGTCCTTTTTTAAAGCTCATTTTAATAATCTATACTTTGATTCTTGTAACACATTCAGGCGATTGTAAATACAAGTGCATTCTAGCATGCAAACTCCAGCTTTCTTTTGTGAATCAAGCTTTTTAGTTTATTACTATCTTCACAAAACAGTAAAAACAGGAGTCTTAACTATCCAGAAGACCAAGACAGCCACAAATAGGTAGGAAATTTCAATTGATAGCTGGTTGTAATATAGTTTGTAATTGGGCTGAGACCTGGTACCAGAGGTTCTGCTTCAAATCAGTGACACAGTATGAAAGAAAGTGGTCTGAGCTTCATGGGATAAACCTGCCAAGTGACTTGCACAAGAAGATGCCAATGGTGAGACATAAGCTGGAGCAGTAATGGCAACTGAAGGGAATGTGCCTAGGAGGCCAGGTGGGATTGCTTTGGGCTGCTTTTTGCTAAGTCTGAAAAACTTGTAGCCGCAACAAAGGTGTCTTCTCCAGACCTGAGAACACTACAGCTCCAGCTGAGAGAGGTTGTGGGAAGATATGTGGGAGGCACTGATATGTGCCTTCCTGCCCTGTGAAAGCCACCAGAGAACATGCCTTGCTTCATGAAAGGTTATGAGAGCTGTGTGGAACCTGCCAGTCGTTAAGGAGATTCTTCGTAGCCTTGCTAATGACTGTCATCCTTCCAAGCCCGCTCTGCTTAATCAGACTGTTCAAAAGACACTGGCTTCCAGAGTTCTAGTGGCACGTCTTCTGTTGGGCCTGTCTATCACAGCAGTTTCAGATTAAGGTGTTGCTCAGCCTGTCCAGCTGGGGTTGATGTCTATGACCTGCTCATCTTTGAAGCAGGGTCTCTGTTAGATCAGCAGCTGTCCTGTGTGTATGTCATCTCCTGGGGTGCAAGCACAGGGGTAGCTGGTTGAGGAGGAAGCTACTGAGCTTCCAGCACATATGTGCGCTTTGAGGGCTGAAATGGGATGGTTATGGTTGAACCCCAGGGACCTGTAACAGATAACCATTTCTCCTCTGTTAAGCGAGAGTACTGACTTTCTCTCCTCTCTCCCAGAAATGTTGGTTGGAAGGGACCAACAACCTCAGCAGATCTCTAGTTCAACCTCCTGCTTGAAGTGGGGTTGTCACCAGCATTAGGTCAGGTTTTTATTTGGATTTGTGCTCTGGGATGTGTCAGCAGTAAGTATCTCACTCCCCTATCTGTTGTGTCCTCAGTTAACTGCTGACACTGTCATGACTTCCTCATGACTAGGGGAGTTTTCTTGATTTAAGAGAGTAAAGACAGTCAGGGAAACAGAGGGGCTGAGCATCATCCCAAATTGACAGTGGTTAGGAGTCTGCAACACAGGGTGTTAAGGCTGTGCTGGTCCTATTTTTGCTCTGAAAACTGCAGGTTTCATGTGTGATCCTTGGCCAGGCACTAAGTTAATCCTCAGACTCCCCTCTGAGCTTTCCAAGCTCCTGGCCCTTTGCAATTAACTCTGCCTGGTGCCAAATGAAAATTAAAATTTATGCCTCCTACTGTAGCAGAAGTCAATGCAAGTACCTGGAGTAATTAAAAAATCATTAAAAAATCATGCAGCGGCACAGATACTTGTTCATTCAAAGGAGTCCAAGATTCTGCTCTGAATTGGCAACTGCCTTTTGGATGGCTGTGCGCGCCCTGTTCAGGAGAGCAGTATGAGCCTTCACCCAGCAGTGTAGTACATACTTTTTTTTTTTCCTAAGGTGCATTTTTTTTTCAAGGAAAAAAAGAACAGCGGCAGCCCTGATCTGACTGCACAAAAGCATCCTGACTGACATGGAAGGGAGGAAGGGACATGCGTGAAAGACTAGTCTCTACATGGGTTATTTATGGCTGTATGAAGAGGAACATTTTGTGATCAAACCCAACAGGCTGGCTGAATTAATTGCTTTTGTTCCTTTAGGTTTAATAGGGATTAACTTGGGCTTTAAAAAACTTAATCAATTGTCCCTTCATTTTCTTGAGCAGATCTATAAAACACTATTTCCTGATGGATCAAGGGGACTTCTTTGTTCACTTCATGGATCTCACAGAAGAAGAACTTAAGAAGCCTGTAGATGACATCATAACTACGAGGCTAGAGGCTCTGCTTGAATTAGCCCTGCGAATGAGCACAGCCAACACAGATCCTTTCAAGGATGATTTAAAGGTAAGAATATATGTAAACAGAAGATAATTGAATTTGAGGAGGTGGCCTGCCATGATTGGAGAAGATCTGTGTGCCTGTAAGAACCTGATGAATGTGTGGCGAAGGAAAAGAGAATTGATGGCTGTCCTTCTGTAGACCTTCTCTGGGTTAAATCCTCTTTCATCCAGATTAGCAACTGGAAACACCCACTGGGGACAAGGGGCTGCGTTTTCCTACTGGCATCTAAACACAGAGAGGCTTTTAGGTGAGGCTTTTGAGTAGCCTCAGGATGAGGTGGAAGCAGTAGCGTGTCTCTCATGTTTATTCTCAGCTTGGGTGCTCACTTTGGAATACAAGAAAGCACCTGGTTAGAAGTCCTGCCTATTAATGATTGCGTATTTTACAAATGTGAAGCAGCACAAAGGCTGTGCCTGGGGAACATAAGATCTGAGTAGACCTTAGAGAGGGTGAGGGCAAGGTAGAGCGATCCGTGGAGTAGTATGTTGTGTGCTGACGGTTAAACACTACAGCCACACTGCTCTGCTGTCTGCTGCTGTGCTCTCCAGATCGTACCAGTCACTATTTCTTTCTAGCTTGGTCTGATGACTTGAGAGTGACTTGATAATTTGGACTTCTGCCACATGTCTGTTGCTACGCAGTAGTTGTGAGTGTCTTGTGGTTTCATTTTTTTTCCTGCTTTTCCTTTATAGATTGACTTGATGCCCCATGACCTCATTACACAGCTCCTGAGAGTATTGGCCATAGAAACGAAACAGGAGAAGGCCATTATCAGTGCAGATCCCACAGAGCTCACTCTCAGCGGTCTGGAAGCATTTTCCTTTGACTATATTGTTAAGTGGCCTCTGTCACTTATTATAAACAGGTAAAGTATCAATCTGCTGAAGGCAAACAAGGCAGAAGCTTTTGCATGGGGTTGAAGCAGCAAAATTTTCACACAGCAAAATACTGCAAAGGCTGTATCTTTAAAGTGATGTCGTAAATTGCTGACTAGCAGAGAATGTTTTGATGATTAAGGGGCTGGAGCATCTTTCTTCATAGAATCATAGAATCACAGACTGGTTAGGGTTGAAAGGGACCTTAAAGCTCATCTAATTCTAATCCCCCTGCCATCAGCAGGGACACCTTCCACAAGACCAGGTTGCTCAAAGCCTCATCCAGCCTGGCTTTGAACACTTCCAGGGAGGAGCAGCCACAGCTTCTCTGGGCATTAACCCCTCCCGGGGGGGCCCAGCCACAGCTCCCCTGGGCAGCCTGTTCCAGTGTCTCACCACCCTCACAGTGAAGAATTTCTTCCTAATATCTAATCTCAATCTCCCCTCTTCCAGATTAAAGCCATCACACCTTGTTCTCTCATTACCTGCCTTTATGAAAGTCCCTCCCAGCTTTCTTGTAGGCCCCT